AAGTACATAAGTTTATTTTTTAAGGGCAAAAAGTAATATTAGTTACGTTTGAGACATTTACAAAAGTTCACCACGTTTTTTTCTAAACTGATATTTGAAATTGTAGAATTATAATATATATGAAATACAATTAGGAATAAATCAACTTAATTATATGAATTTTTCTATCACTATTGGAAATTCTGAAATTTCCGACCACCTGAAAGTGATCTTAAATTAAGTCAAAAGCCTTGTTCCGACCACTTTTGGTATCTGGAAAAACCTTTGTTGCTATTTCCGACCACTTTTTGGTATCAACTTGATTTAAGACCATTTTCAGGTGGTCGGAAATTCCATAATTTCCAGTAGTGTATACATTTATCTAAATATGTATATGATTTGAGATTATATTAACCATACAAAATTTAATTTAAATTTAAATTTTGTATGCTATGAAAATAGATACTTGACCAAATATATAAAAGTCTAACTTTATTATTATATTGTACATTTTAGCATCTTTTCATTTTTTTCTATTTTTTAAATTTAAATTCATAATAACAATTTTTTTTCCGTACAAGGCACGGGTAAAATACTAGTATGCTATAAAGTGCAAAGATTTATACTACAAAGTATAAAAGTTTTATATTAAAAGTGAATAAACTTATACTATAAAGTTTTGTTTTAAATAATTTTTAGAGTCGTCACTACTGGAAATTATGAAATTTCCGACCACCTGAAAGTGATCTTAAATCAAGTCGAAAGCCTTGTTCCGATCACTTTTGGTATCCGGAAAAATCTTTGTTGCTATTTCCGACCACTTTTTACTTTCGACTTGATTTAAGATCACTTTCAGGTGGTCAGAAATTTTATAATTTCCAGCAGTGCGTTAATTTGACCATTTTTTTTCTGAGAATTTTTACCTGGATCGTGTTTTTTTTTGAAGCAAAAGAACGAAAACTATATTAAGTAGAGTCCATGCTCAAAGCATGAGCAATGGAAGGAAATGGAGACAGTGAACAGTCCGAACAGTCAGGCATAGAAAGGGCTTCCCGAGCTAGCAAATGGGCAACCCTGTTCGCAGACCGCTTTGCAAACAAAAAGCATAAGTTACTAAAACTTGAAGCTATTTTCCTAACATCATTAACAATTAAGTCAAAAGAAGAAAATAAATCATGCGCATGGGATAAGCTGTTAATAACTTGGAGACAATCACTCTCCAACTGCAGATTGTCAATTCTTAAGCTCTTGATCCACTTCAATGCTTAACGAACTCCAATTGCCTCAGCTTCATTCGGCTTGAAAATAGAAAACCATGGGAAACGTCGAGCTGCAACTAGCGAACCAGTGGAATCATGAAGAACAAATCCGAAGCCCATCTTCTTGTTAGCAACATCAAGTGCAGCGTCAACATTGAGTTTGTGCATGCCTGGAGGAGGTCTGGTCCAAGCTTCATTATAATCTGGGGCCCTGGCAGTGGAGTTAACAGTAAGATTTGCATTAGACCATTGAAATAGATAAGTGCTTGCAGACTGACAGATATAGGATGCAGTAAGAATTTTGTGATTCCATAATTTTTCATTCCTAGCCTCCCATATTTTCCAACAAACCGAAATATGCAGACACATTCCCTTTTCATCCAAGTTATTAAATATCTGTTCAAGCCATCTAAAGAGGGAATTACTGGATTGATAATCAAACCCCCCCAGCAAGTTTCAACAACATTTTGCTAAAAGACATCTAACAAACAGATGAAAAGCAGTTTCATCTTCAGTGTTGCAAAGCTGACAAATATGAGGCACCTGAACATGTTTTGTTCTCAAGTTATCATATGTGGGAAGGGATGTTGAGCAAAGCTGCCAGAAGAAAGATTTGATTTTAGGTGGCAGAAAGAACTTCCAAAATCTTGTCCATAAGGGAATTTGAGCAGGGTCCATATTCTCCATTAAGCTTCTATAACAACTTCGAACTGAATTAGTGCCTTTTTCATCCTCCAACCAGATAATCTTATCAGAAATGGTGGTTTCAGGAAGAGCTATGCTCTTGATTTGCTCCTTATCGGGCTGATAAAAAATGGAGTCAATGAGAGAGATATTCCATGAAGAACCTGTATGATTGATGATGGAGGCCACTTTCATCTCCCTGAGTTGGGCTGGCATGATTGATTGGATAAAAGGGTAGTCATTGTTTGGAAGCCATGGATCAGTCCAGACATTAATAGAGTTCCCATCACCCACTCTCCACTTACAACTCCTTTTTAGAAAAATTTGGGACTCCATAATGCTTCTCCAAATGAAAGATGGGTTACTTCCCGTTTGAGCATCGAGAAAAGAAGAGTTTGGGTAATACTTGGCCTTATATACTCTTGACAGCAAGGAATTAGGTTGTTGAATGAGACGCCACACTTGTTTCCACAACATTGCAATATTGAAATTCCTAATTCTTTTGAAGCCCAAACCTCCCCAACGTTTAGGGGTGCTTAATCTCTCCCAACTTTTCCATCGAATACCCCTATTGTTCTCCCCATCACGACCCCACCAAAAGCTGTTCATGATTCTTTCAATGTCCTTTCCCATCTCAATTGGTAGAAGAAAGACGCTCATTGCAAATGTTGGTATAACTTGTATCACATTTTTTATTAGAATATCCCTTCCGGCTCTTGAGAGGAAACGATGATCCAACTTTTAATTCGGCCAACAACTTTATCTTTTATGAATCCAAGTATTTCACGCTTATTTCTGCCAATAACTGAGGGAAGACCAAGATAATTTCCATTCAAGTTTCCTTCTCTAATTTCCATTATATTACAAAAGGAGTCCTTGGAGATGACATTTGTGTTCTTACTGAAGGTAAGGGTAGATTTAGAGTAGTTGACTATTTGGCCTGAGGGTATAGTGAAGGATTCAATGATGTTCCTAAGAGTGGTAGCTTCTGAAGGGGTCGCTTTGTAGAAAATGTAGCAATCATCGGCAAAGAAAAGATTGGTGATGGTTGGGGCTCTTATAGCGATGGAAATTCCATGGAGGGTTCCCGATCTTTGGGGGTTTCTAGATCAAAAGGTGGAAGGATTCAGGGATAAGGATGAAGAGGTATGGTGAAATAGGATCGCCCTGTCTTAGGCCTCTATTTGGGATAACTGTACCAATAGCTTTTCCTTCAAGAAGAATAGTGAATCTAACAGTTGTGATCATCTCCCGGACCAGATTAACAAAGTGATTAGAAAATCCCAGTCTAGTTAAAACTGCTAAGAGAAAGGCCCAGCTAACTTTGTCAAATGCTTTGCTCATATCCAATTTGACACCCACGAAACCCACATTTCCTTGTTTTTTTCTCTTGAGATAGTGATTGACTTCATAGGCTAACATGATGTTGTCAGAGATAAGTCTGCCCGGGACAAAAGCTGATTGAGACTCAGATACAACTCTGGTAAGTAAAGGCTTTATGCGGTTGGCAAGAATCTTAGAGAGAAGCTTATAGAGTGTATTACAAAGAGAAATAGATCTTAGGTTGCCCATGCAATCTGGTTTGGATTTTTTGGAAATTAGGACCATATGGGTATTGTTTAGGCTCTCAGGCAGGTTCCCGGAAAGAAAGAAATCGGAGCAAAATTGCAAAAGTTCATTGCCTAAGATATCCCAAAAATGCTGAAAAAATCCCGGATTAAGGCCATTGGGTCCCAGGGATTTATCATGTTTCATATAAAAAATAGCATCTTTTACCTCTTGAATTGTTACAGTTTTACATAAAGAGACATTATGCACATCAGAAATCAAAGGCTCAATGCAGTCAATAACAGAGCACATATTTCCCACAGTAAGGCTAAACAAATCATGAAAGTATGAAGTAATAAGGGTGCCCAGATTAGTACCTCCTTCAATCCAATTGCCCTCGCTGTCCTTAAGCTTGGTAAAACGGTTGGCTTGTTGTCTTCGTCTAACCGTTTTGTGAAATAAGCCAGAGTTAGTGTCACCATCTTTCAACCAAAACTGTTTTGCTCGTTGGCGCCAATAATCACTTTGTTGCTGTAGATTACGAAGATACTGAGATTGAGCTTCATTAAAAAGGAATATGCCATGTTGATCCCTTCTGTGTTTAGTGACTCCATACGTCTTCTCCAATAGTCCAACTGTTTCTGGAAATCTCGTGCGAATTCCTTTCCCCAAATCCAGATATCTTTACCGCATCTACCCACCCTGTCCATGAGATTTTGGCCTTGGGTTTTCGACCAACTTTCAATCATGATGTTACGACAATTAGCATCCCGGAGCCACAGGTTCTCAAAGCGAAAACGACTGCTGGGGTTTGGAATATGAGGTGGTAAAATTTGAAGATAGAGAGGCATATGGTCACTCTTTGGGGTAGTGATAGAGCAAGCTTTGGCGTTAGAGAAGAGGTCACACCAAGAATAAAAAACAAGAATTCTATCAAGTTTAGCTTCAATCCATAGGGGGGGGGGGGGGTACCTTTAGAGCGTTCCCATGTGAATTGGTGACCATCAAAGGCAAAATCCTTCAAACCACTTGCTTCAACTGCTTCCCGGAAGCCTTGGATGAGTCTCATTGGCTGTGGATTACCTCCGCTTTTTTCCTCCGGGTTAAGAATATCGTTGAAATCGCCCATTACTGCCTAGGGAAGGGTACTGTTGCGAGAGAGTTCATTGAGGAGAGACCATGATTCCGACCGGCGGTGCCGTTCAGGGGATCCGTAGTAACCTGTAAAACGCCATTCAACATCCCCGGTGTTAAGAGAGACTATTGCATCAATGTGGTGCTTTGAAAAAAATTGAATCGTGACAATCGTGCCTTCCTTCCATAAGAGAGCTAGACCACCGCTATGACCTTCATTGCTAACACAAAAGAGACCAGAGTAGCCCATTTTAATTCTGATTGAGTGGATCTTGTTTTGACCTGCAAAAGTTTCAGCTAAAAAAATAACATAGGGCTTCTTAGAGTAGACTAGGTCCACAAGAACCTGAATTGTCCTTGGGTTCCCAAGCCCACGATAGTTCCAAGCTAAGAGACTCATTGTTCTGGGTGAGCTTGATCCGCAGGTCCCGCCCTTGGCAAGTTTTTTGGAAAAATAGAAGGTCCATTCAGATCAAAAGGAGAGATTGTGGGCTCAGCTGTTGGCCCAAGATTGGGTTCCTCATCAGGCCCAAACGTATCAGTCCGTCTACGCTTCTGGTCTAGAATGACCAGCCCATCAGAAGGAATTCGGTTGTCCACCTGCTCCATGTTTATGTCGTTACCAGTAGTCGTATGTTGTACAGCAGTACCCGAGGCTACGTGTTGCATCACTGGGAAAGTTGTACACTGTGTGCTCCTCTGTACCCGACCGGGATATGCGCCTGTACCACCCTCAACGCTGTCCTGGCTCTGCCCAGAGGGAAAAGTTGTCGTTAAGCGCTCAGTCTGGTCGGAGACGACCCACCTGTTTCCGGTCACTGGTGACGGGCGGCGATTAGGCGCTCGTAGCCATGGCCCAAACTGTTTTTCCATTGTTGGAGAGAATCCTTCGAAGAGCTTGACACAAAATTTCTCAGTGTGGCCGATCAAACCGCAAATGAAACAAAAATTTGGTAATCGTTCATACTTGAATGAAATCCAACTCCAATCACCACCATTTCGCTTGATACGCTTCTGACTGACCAAAGGTTTAGATATATCAATTCTGACCTGAATACGAATGAAAGATTTCAGCCAGCCGGAGAGAGCAGCTTCGTCAATACTGATAAATTCTCCAATGAAGTTTCCGATAGCCGAGATCGATTTCTCCGAGAAGAAGCCAAGCGGTAAATCATGTATTTGGATCCAAAAGTCAGCAATGTTGAGTGGGATAACCATGGGGGGAATGTCTGGTTGGGTTTTCGCGAGGACGAGACGATTTTGCTCAAAAAACCATGGCCCGTCGTTGAGGACGCGTTGCATATCAATGTCATGGAAGAACTGAAAGAGATAGGTGTTGTTCAAGAGCTCTTTGGCTGCTACACCCATTCTAGGACGCCAGACGGCAGCCATTGTGTCACGCATAAAGGCAAACTTGACGATCTTTTCAGTGATGAGGCGACCAACTAGAGTGAAGTGGAAATCGTTGGAAGCTTCAGTGTCTTCATCAAATCCGAGGTCGAGGCCTTTTTTTTTTTTTTTTTTTTTTTTTTTTTTTTTTTTTTTTTTTTTTTTTTCTGAGAGTTTCTACTTGGATCCTTTCTTATTTTCGCTTCAAAGTTGACCAAATTAGAGACACATTTACATGGTTGCATTATCACGCTGTACCAACTTTACCATTCAGTTCAGTTAGGCATCATGGTCATCGAGAAAAATCAAATCTCATTATATTTTATTATTTTTCATATTTGGAGTTTTTACCAAGTCAAGATTACTTTGCATTTGTTCAAAATTAACGTGAATACTAATTTAGACTATTAAATTATAATGATACACGATTGAGATTAAAAGGAACAAATCATACTGATTAAGAAAACAAATCCTTTTAAAATATTAGAAAATATACGATTAGGGGGCAAATCACTCTTTATTAGAAGCTATGCATTCCTATACAGAATATCGAGCATCGAAAAACTCTCTGGTTGTGCATTCAAATATCGCGGAAGAATCCTACGATGGACATCCCAATGTCCTTGCATAACTTGTGAGCATTAGCTGATCTGGTACATCAATACATGTCCTATATATGCCCATTACAATCTTGTCTAACATTGCTAACTCCCCTTCTCAACCTGTATCTTGTTCGTTCTGGAAACACGTCGTTCCTATTCCATCTTTTATCGAATCTCCTTTAACGAAAGAAATAGATAAGCGAATACCCAAGCCTAGTTCACTTGTTGAGTCTCTTTGCATCCATGGCTGAATAGTGAAAGCGCCCAACCTATACAAGGGGAAAATTCGTAGGTAAGATTATTGCTGGATGAGTCATCATGAAAGATTTCCGGACCACACTATTACTGGGTTGTACAATCAGTACACCTGACTGCACAATCGTACTACACAGACATGTGTACATATATACCAACATCCAAATATAGTCAATATTATACTCAAAAGAACTAGCGAAAAAAATTTAAAAAATATTGATCACTTTTCATGGACGAATAGCCGATCGATAATGAAAAATTGTGACTCCAAATCGCAACGGTAATGATCAAAGAAAATAGAAAACAAATTTGGCAAAAGATTACCCATGCTTTGACACTTAAAAAAAAGAAGGAAAAAGACACTACTACCCCCACTTAAAAAAATCAATTCATGTCATATTAGGAAATCAAATATGTATCATCTAAATAAATAAAAAAAAAACAAATGCACAAGATTAGCCCTCACAAGATTTGAACGCAACTATCTCTCTCTCTCCCTCTCTCTCTCTCTTTCTCTCTCTTTATAGAAATGGGTTCCTGTGCGGTTGAGGGTGCCAGGTGCAGTTGTGCGGTAGTGAAAGGAGAACCATTGATTTTGCTTAAATCAACATTTAGATTACCAAAATTAAATAAAAAAAATGCGATGGTATTTTGGTAATTTTTTACATTTAGGTCAAATGTAAGTTGCATGATTTTTGTGGGTAAGGTGCGTGAGTTTGTGCTTAAGGTGCGTGAGATTTGTGCTTAAGGTGCGTGGGGTTGTGTACTTTTTTTTTGAAAGGAGCCATGGTGGCATTTATTCAAAATACGCTGAAATCGTGGACGGTGGGATTGAATCCCAGCACATAGTAGTAAACTAACTAATAGCTGATGTAGCTAGAGTATGAGCTAAATAGTTCTCTGATCTAGGAATAAATCTAATTAAGCAAGAATTAAAAGTAGACATAAAGTTCCTGCAACTTTCAATTGCGTAACCAATATACGTGCGATCAGGGCGGGCCGTAGTAGTTAGATATTGCTGAACCGTTAAACAATCAATCAGTGTATAGCTCTATAGAGTGCTCTCCACGATTCTTTAGCCATGACAAAGCTTCTTTACACGCTACCGCCTCTGCCATAAGAGGAGAGAAATAACTTGGAAGAGAGGAAGCGTAGGCAGAGATGTAACCTCCATTTCCGTCCAGCAAAATTGCTCCAACCGAGGCGGTGTTTGTCGGGTGATGGTAATTGGCGTCTACATAGCAACGGCGTGGAGGCAATCCCGGCGGAGGCGCACCGAGTTGGGCGGTAGTGGCGTGGGGAGGTTCGGCCGGCGCCGAAGTGGCATGCTGTACGGCCATGTGGTGCACAGTGCGCCATGCGTGTAGCGCGGAGGTAGCCGTCATTAAAACTTTCTTCGGCCTTGGTAGATAGGCATCCCAAACTGCTTTGTTCCTTGCCCTCCAAATGTGGTAGAGGATTGCGGCTACATACATCAGACCATCAGTGTCAAGAATATCCAAAATCGCACCAAACCACTCATGAAAATTATTTGTCTGAATAATAGGGATTGAAAGGTTGGATTGTCCCCATATGTTATTTGTAAAATCACATAAAACTAATGCATGCATAGTATCCTCATGCACGATTCCACACGTGGCATAGGCTGGCTCTACTTCCACCCTCTTAGTAAACAAGTTCTCAGTGGTGGGTAGGATATCACTCAGGGCTCTCCATAAAAAGGTTTCCATTTTGGGGGATTTTAAGTTTCCAGAGTGCCATCCATTTATTGAAGGTGTTATTATTGTTATCAACAAAATTCCCAACAATGCGTCTATATCCACTCTTAACAGAATAAATTCCTCTAGGATCATCATACCAGTACCAAGTATCCGCATACTCTGGGGAAACCGGTATCTTCATTATTCTGGCTACATCTGTGGGTATAAAAATGTCTGTTAGGATTGAGCTGTCCCATGTACCAGTATCTTGATCAATCAATCCTACCACTCGTGCATTAGCCAATTGTGGGGGCATCTCAGTTTGGATTATAGGATCCTGCTCATCCTGTAGCCAGGGGTGATCCCATATTCTCGTTTCCTGACCATTCCCTATCCTTCGTTTTATCCCACTACAAACAAAGCCCTTTGCTGCCATAATACTCCGCCAACAAAAACTTGGGTTATTTCCTAGATAAGCTTCAAAGAAAGAATCCTTATGGTAATACCTGGCTTTGTAGACACGCGCTACTAAGGAGTCTGGCTTTGTAAGTAGCCGCCATGTCTGCTTACCCAACATTGCCAAATTAAAGGCCTTGAGCTCCTTAAAGCCCAGACCACCATGTTTCTTTGGGATGCATAGTCTATCCCATGCCTTCCAATGGACACCTTGATTAGAGCCAGAGTTCCACCAATACCGGTTCATGGTTCTCTCAATAGATGAGCAAACAGAAATAGGCAATATAAAACACTCATTGAGAAGGTAGGCATAGATTGTGTCACACTTTTCAACAAGATTTCCTTACCAGCCTGTGATAAAAACTTCTTATTCCAGGAACCAATTCTTTGCTTGATTTTGTCCTCAATATATGAGAAGGCTACCTTTTTATTCCTACTAATAAAGGAGGGGAGCCCCGGATATTTCCCAAAGTTTGGGGCCTGTTCCACCCCTAACTCCTGCACCACATTCATCCGGTTACCCTCACAAGTATTCTTGCTATAGCATATACTTGACTTGTGATAATTAACTGCCTGTCCTGATAAATTCTCATACACAGTTAAACAATTCTTAATCACCCCAGCCTCCTGCATATTAGCTTTAAAAATTAGCAAACTGTCATCCGCAAAAACATAAGTGAGATATAGGGGGAGCTCCCCTAGCCACTCTACATCCATGAATACTGCCATTAGATTGTGCCTGCTGTAATAACATAGAGAGACCCTCCGCACAAATAATGAAAAGATATGGAGACAAAGGATCCCTCTGTCTTAGCCCACGACTAGATGAGTACGAGAGCCATTTATTAAAAACCTGTAAGACATAGTGGATACACACAACATGATCAGCTCCACCCATCTATTATCAAATCCCATAGCCAACAGCATACCACGTAAAAATGCCCATTCCATGCGGTCATAAGTTTTAGTCATATCCAGCTTAAGGGCAGCCTAGCCTACTGACCCACACTGTTTCCTGTTTAGATAATGGCCCACCTCTGCAGCTATCAAGATATTATCAGTTATGAGTCTGTCAGGTATGAACGCACTTTGCGAGTCTCATATAATTCCGTCCATTAGTGGCTTCATCCTGTTTGTAATTACTTTAGCCATTATCCTATAAATCACATTACTGAGCGCAATTGGCCTAAGATCAGACACCCGCTCCGGTGTTTTTTTCTTAGGGATCAACACCACATCAGTTTCATTTAGACCAGTCGGGAAACAGCGAGATTCTAAGTAGCCAATTATAAGGGATGAAACATCTCCCCCCACCACATCCCAAAAGTGTTGGTAGAAGCCCGGATTCATTTCATCCGGGCCCGGTGCTTTATCAGGAAACATAGAGAAAAGTGCAGATTTTATTTCTTCCATAGCAAAAGGGCGGAGTAAAGATTCATTCTGTGCCAGAGTGACACGCGGAGAAATCCCATTAAAGAAATTATCTCCATTTACCGGATTACCCGAGCAGAAAATATTTTCAAAATAATTCAAGATAATCCCTCTCATAGATGCACCTTCCACCCAATCCCCATTATCATCCATAAGCCTATCAATAGTATTTTTCTTTTTACGGTGAGAAGCATACCTGTGAAAGAACTTGGTATTGGCATCAGCACCTTTGAGCCAGTGCTGTTTGGCTCGTTGTCTCCAGAAAGCATCTTCCTGCGTCTATACCTTTTCATCTGAACTAGGCTACTTTCTTTCAACACGGCTCAAGAGCTCCTCTAGGCGCTGGAACTCAGTCAATGAAATTGGGTCAGTTTTTCCTTTCAAACGTAGTTGCTCTTTCCGGAGGTTCATAATCTGCTCTTCGAACTTATGGAAACGGTCCCCACCCCAGCGTGATAGCCGAGAGCCACAGTATTCAATACAATTCTGCAATCCACGGTCCCTTCCTTCATCCCAGGATTTCTCCACTACATTTCGGCACCCCTCATCATATAACCATGCATTCTCAAAATGGAAACCCCTCTTACCGGCCCCACCCCTCCTAAAGGAGTCATGGATGCCAAGAAAGAGAGATGTGTGATCTTACCTGCGGGTTATCAAATTTCTCACTCTGGCATCTGCTACAATCTCACGCCAAGCCTCCGTGACCAAGAATTTATCCAACATTTCTTCAATCCAGTCTACCGTTCCTTTCCCCCGCTCCCATGTAAACGGGTAGCCCTCCATAGCCATTTGGGACAATCCACAGTCCTCAATAGTATCCCCAAAACCGCGTAGGAGCCTATCCGGATGTGGATTTCCCCCCTTTTCTCGTGTTGATACAGGAGGTCATTAAAATCGCCAATGACCACCCCTCGGCAGATTAGACCTAGACGCCAAAGATCTTAATGCCTCCCACGACTCATTACGTCCGGTGCGCTGCGGAAAGCCATAAAATCCAGTCATGCGCCATTTCAGAAAGCCATGTATAATAACCTCAATATCCACATGATTGTTTGAATAACTGAGTAGCCTTGTCGTATTATTCTTTCGCCACAATAAAGCCAATCCACCACTCACCTGTATTATCCACATAAAAAAGTCCATCAAAGCCAAGTTTGACATGAATACATTCAGCATGTATCCGTCCCACCATGGTTTCCATCAAAAAAATAAAGTCGGGTTTCTTACCAGACGCAAGGTCCATAACTTCACGAACTGTCCGTGGATTACCCAAGCCACGACAGTTCTAACTTAGGGTACTCATTGGGTCGGGCGGGTCTGGGAACCAGAACCCGCCTGCTGTAAGTTTTTTGAAAGCTCGATCATAACTACATCTTCCCCACTTGGTTCTTGTCTGCCGTCACCCCCCTCCTCCCATTGTTCTTGTCTGCCGTCACCCCTTCCTCCCGGTGACGCTTGGCCACAGCGACCAGACCCTCATCATCCGTGTGACTATCCATACGCACCCCAAGTGGCCGCTGCCTGTCGTCCGTGACTACCACCGGTGGACGCTGTGGTGTTGACGGACGGCCTGGCTGCAACAGCCAACTGCCACCAACCGGACTAGGGCCACGGGGTCCTCCCGCACATAATTCCGGGCCGTATGGATACTCCTCGACCGGCCCCACTGAGTCCCTTGCACCACGGAAAAACTTGTAAGAATGGCCTAACAACCCGCAAAAAAAGTAGTACGTATGCAGCCGTTCGTACTTAAACGAGACCCAACAAGTCGTCTTGTCTCGCTTGATAAAATTCATGCGTCTTTTTAAGGGCTTTTCAACAGGTACCGAAACCCTAACGTGGTTAAAAGCTTTCCATAGTGCATTCACAAACCGATCATCACTCTTAACAAAGCTTCCCAAGAAATTCCAAATTTGCTCCAATATCCGTTCGGTCGTGTATCCCTTGGGCAAGCCATGTAGCTGAACCCACAAGTCCACAGAATCAAGCACAACATCTACCAGCATCATCCCCTCCGGTACTTGCTTGCACACCAAAGTGCTATTGTCGAAGGACCATGGCCCCTCATTTAGGACTCGCTGCATATCAGTTTTATGGTGAAAGATGAACAAGAACAGGCCAGGTTCTACCTCTGTAGCTTCGACACCACTTACCGGCTGCCAGACCGATGCCATAACCTGACTCATGAACTCAATCTTTACCAACTTCCTTGTCAAGAAACGACCTACAACCCCCCACGTATCCTCCACTACGTCTGCAACCTCCACACTCCCCTCGGCCTCCACTGCCGGCATGAAAGCCTTCGCCTCTTCTTCAAGGACCAAGTCTGCCCACCTGGCTATGAGCCCCGCCACCCCTGCTGCGTTCGACGTCGTTGCCATGCGTGATCAGAGAGGGCGAAATCGCAGAAAACAACTGGCAATTACCATGATGAAAGTTGATGGACTGACCGGAAACCCTAGAAAATCCTAGGAAGAGAGTACTAAAGTGATAAGTTGTTTAATTTATCAAATCACCGTTATTTAAAAAAAAAAAACTTAAGGTGCGTGAGTTTTATGCTTAAGGTGCATGAGTTTTGTGCTTAAGGTGCGTGGGTAGTTGCTGAAACTTAGGTGTGTGAGTTTCCTTCTTAATGTGCGTTGTTTTCATCTTAAGGTGCGTGATTTGTATGCTTAAAGTGAACCATTTTTAAAACCTTAAGGGCGTGAGTTTAATGGTTAATGTGCTTAAGGAGCGTGGTTGGTGTTCTTAAGGTGTTCTGTTTGTGTGCTTAATGTGTGTGTGTGTTGTGTACTTAAAGTGCGTCAGTTTAATGGTTAATGTGCATCTAACTGCATGGGAAGCTATTCCCGCACCTGATCCCTTCCCTATATATATATATATATATATATATATATATATATATATAGTAAATACCAGCCAAGGTCCATCGAGTTTAGTGGTTCCGCCATCAATGATCCTAAACTTTTGTTTTGACCTTCTGTCATCCTCCGAATTTCAAAATTGGCCTCCAAAAGTCCTTTCGTTAAGTTTGGTCCGTCTCAGTCGTGAAATCTTAGGGGCATAATAGTCTTTTTGTTTAATTCTCCCCAAATACAGTTTTTCGAGCAGATCTCTTTCCCTTCTCATTTATCTATACATTCGCCGGAGATGAACCTTAGAATGAAGCATCCGGTGGCAGTGGCGAACGGGGAGAGTCCATTTGGCTCATTGACTGCCGATGGGTTCTACTCGTGCCACTCGGTGAGTCACGACTCCGAGTTCATCACCAATCCTCGCGATCTCAAGCTGTTCACCCACTGGTGGACCCCGCTCCCACCGACGAAGGTGATTGGTGTCGTCTACGGCTTCACCGGCGACTCCAACTGGCTCATCCAGCTCACCGTCGTGCACATCGCAAAGCAAGGTTCATCTTTTGCGCCATCGACCATCATGGCTACGGCTACACCGAGGGGCTGAAGGCTCACATATCAGGCATCAACCCCGTCGACGACGACTGCATAGCGTTCTTCGACTCGTTCTGTGATCACCACGTGCCGCGGGAGCTGGATTCATTCGTCTACGCTGATTCCCTCGGCGGCACGATTGCTTTGCACATAACCCTTAGCCGCTGCGATTCCGCCCAAAACGGTGCTTCGATAGCGTTGTTTTGAACAGGGCCATGTGCGGCATCAGCGATAAGTTCAAGCCAATGTGGCCGCTGGAGCATTTCCTTGACATTGTGGCGTACTTAATCCCGATTTAGCATGTCGTCCCCACGCGCGGCTCCATTCCCGACGTCTCATTCAAGGTCAGATATTTTCCTTTTTCACCATTAAATTCCATTTTAGAGTAGTCTCAGGTCTCTTCGAATTTGGTTTCCAATTTCCGTCACGTAAGAATAAAGGAGGAATGGTAGAGGAAACTAGCGAGCAGACAGATTGTGTATTTGGAGGGGTGGGGGGGGGATTAAACAAAAAGACTATTATGTCATAAGATTTCGTGGCTGAGACGGACAAACTTAACGGAAGGACTATTGGAGGCCAATTTTAAAATTCGGAGGATGATAGAAGGCCAAAACGAAAGTTTAGGACCATTAATGGCGGAACCACTAAACTCGAGGGACCTTGGCTGGTATTTACTTTATATATATATATATATACCAGGACTATGTGGTCCAATGGTATCCGGGTTGGACTTCTATTTGGAAGATTATAAGTTCGAGCCTCAGTGGAGGCGTTATTGGTTCTTTGTGTTTCAGTAGGTTGAGAAAGTATATGAACAGATACTACAATGTAATAGAGCCAGTAACTTTCAAAAAAATATATATATATATGTATGTATGTATATGTATAGTAATGATCAAATGAGACCGCATCTTCTCGTGAGTCTGTGAGACTTTTATGAATACACATAATTTACTACACGAATGCATACAAACTAGATTGTGTGTAAATTGCATGCCCAACATGAATACACAGTACACAATCGATCTACACTGGAGTAGTTTGTGTGTATTCATGAATGGTCTCACGGACTCATGGAAAGAGGTTATCACACTGGAACATTAGCCGTCATAAATATTTTCACATTTTCACTCCACTCAAAAATATTTCTGGCTCCGACCCTAACTATCATGTAATTTATCAAAAACATTGTAATGTAATTTATAATATATTTTGTATTTTAACCTTATTATAACTGTTTGATATTTTTTTCGTTGGTATTTCTAACGTAATTTAAACTTCGTCCCTACTCAGATGATTTTCTGCATCCGTCCCGGTTTGGGTTGCACCCAAAAATAATAAAATAAAATTTATATAGTCATGATTGGCATGATGCCATTTGAAGCTAAGGTTGAATTGAAACATACAATATTAACACTATGGCATTAATTGTTACAATATAATTGGTGTGGTAAGTTGAGTGTGGGTAGATCAGATCAGATAAGATGAGCAAGTAATATAATGGCAAACAAAAATGGATATGATGCTGTTTATTAGTCTAGTTTTCAGCTTTTTTTTTTTTTAAACAATCTAGTTTTCAGCTTAATCTTTAACAAACCATCCTAAAGCATCTCTGATCCATTATAGAGAAATTGTAGGAGGGATGAGGAATCTTTCGTTTTAGTAATTTACTCCGAAAAGTGTGAAATGAACTAAAGACTAAGTATATCATCCTGATCGATGTTGAAACCCATATATATACATAATCAATCACTGTGCTAGGATCTATCTTTACCAAAAAAAAAAATTGCAAGGATCTATCATTACATTAATTCATTATATCCGATCATTATTACATACACACACAAAAACACACACATATATAAATATATATATATATATCAATCACCTATACTAGCTAGCTAGGCAAGGCATAAACGTAACATGGCTGAAGATAGTACTGCTGATCATACTCCTCCCGAGGGCGCAGAGACGACAGAACAGGCGCCGCCGACAGAACAGGCGCCGCCGCCACCGCCGCCGCCACCGCCGCCGGCTGAGCCAATGACAATCGCCGACGAAAAAGCCCTTCCGCCGCCGCCGCCACCGCCTCCACAAGAAGACCCAGAGGCTCAGTCTCAAGCGCCGCGCAAGAAGAAGAGCTTTAGTGAACTTTTTACTTTGAGAAACATTGTGAATTTGGTATCCATTTTGGCCTTCATTCTGACAATCCCAATCATGTTCACAGTGATATATTTGGTATACATCGGACGGTACGAGTGCGAGAATCTACTGAGTCTACCCAGGTTACAATTGGGCATAGCCATTTTCTTGGCGGTGGTGTTCGTGGTGAGCAACCTGGTGGTCTACTACAGATCCCGGTTTCCGATCACCGGAGTACTGGTGGTGATGATCTCATTGCTCATCATCCTGGTGGTCGGGCTTAGCCTCGTGGGAGCTTACAAAGTGGAGTCCAGCAAAATCCTTGGCTCTCCTCCTTGGATCAAAGCCAAGATGCACGATGACGATGACTGGTCCGGGATCAGGTCTTGCATATACGAAACCAGAACATGCAAGGATTTGATCTCCAGATCCTACCTACTCAAATCCTATGATTTCACCCCTAATAAGCTCACATTCATTGAGGTAACTATATATATATATATATAGGGTCGCGTTGGGTTGGGTCACTTTGCACCGGAACTGTGAACTGTTAAAGAATTGCACTGCCAACTGCTAAAGAATTGCACTGCATTTGACTCGAATGCACCACAAGATTCTCCAGACATGTCTAAGAGTCGTTGCAGTGCATATATTGATGTGTATGAAATTAGAAATTAGGGTAAGGTTCAGGTGCGAATTGGACTGCAAATTATTGAATGTTGCATCACAAAGTCTTGCATGCAGATGTATCTAGGAACTGTTGCAGTGCAATCATTTAGTAGTTCGTAGGTTGGTTGCATTTGAATGCTTATATATATATATATATATATATATATATATATATATATATATATATATATATATATATATATATAACATGTGAATTAAATTGTGATTTGTAGGGTGATTATATTGAACTTGATTTTCAGGGGGGTTGCTGCGTTCCGCCGCCGATCTGCAACATGGAGTACGTGAACGTGACCTACTGGAGGTTGCCGGCGAATGAAACGCAGGAGAGCAGCGATCTGTACATCAGCGACTGCAATCTGTGGCGGAACAAAGAGAGCGTTTTGTGCTACGACTGCAATGCGTGTAAAGATGGGTACTTCAAAACCTTGGAGGAGAAATGGCTGCGTCTCGGCACTTTCCTCATCACCATTTCTCTGCTACTCGCCACCGCGCATCTCTTGCTCTTTGTCGCTACAATGTGGGATCAATATGCAGCCTAGCTAGCTAGATTGAATTGAATTGGCAATATATATAAAATGCAATTTCCAGATTGCATTGGCCCGCCCGCCCGTACCCAGCAGGGTTTCATTCGCTTTGATCTTTAATTTCTGCAGCATTCTTGCATTCACTTCCTCAAGAAGTGGTTCATTGGAATGAATTGACAGTGACAATCAAACCAAACATGTTTTATGACAATTTCTCGAAAACATTTCTCTTAGTGATTTTTGGCATGATGGATCAAATACATCAAAAATCATTTTTTTATAAAGATTGTTTTCACTATAGTCCTCATTCATATGTGGTTGTATTGACGGGGCGAAGTTCTCCGTGACACGTCCAAACACAATAATTTAGTTCAAAACCTTCTTATACAAATGAATACAAACATCATCCGCACCGCAGACAAGTGTACTCTATTCTTAGACTTATATATTACATGGACACGTAATCTGCATTGAAATCTTGTACACATGAAGTGTACTGGCATAATTTATAAATTCCTCAACAACCGCTAAAACTCATCGGTGTACCCCTTTCTTTTTTCCTGATAACAATTGGTTATACATCAATTTATGATGCTCAAGTATATTAGTCATGTAAAATATCTGGAAAAGTATATAAAATACAAACAAAACACATATAAATATATTACAAATAATTTAAATATGTTAAATAATTATATATCAACATACTAATAAATAGACAACATATAAAATGTAATGTTAAAAAAATCTTAAATCATAAATATACTAAACACTCACATAAATAAATCACACACACACAGATATATATATATATATATATATATATATATATATATATATATATATATATATATATATATATATATAACACCACGTATTGTCCAATCATTAAATAAATAATTTTAAAATATATGCACAAGAATATATACAAAAATATAAAGCTAGATAAACAAAATGACATAAATAGAAATTCTAAAAATATATATACATACCTTAGCTTGATTTCAACACTATTGTGAGTGGCTTAGTGAAAAATCTCCTGAAAAAAAAAAAAACAAAAAAACAAAAACAAAAACAAAAAACAATACAAAGGGGTAAAACTTCAAACTAGATCTAAAAAATGATATACATGGAAGTTTTAAGAATATATACACATACATTAGCTTGATTTCTACACTATTATTGTGAGTGGTTTAGTTAAAAATCTCTAGCAAAAATGAGGAAATATGTAGAAAGGGGTTAAAAAAAAAAAGAGGAGAAGAATGGTGTAGAAACTAGACAGATAGTCTGCTGGGAGATATATGTAAAGGACTTTCCGGAAAAAAAAGTCAATTTTTAAAAAAATAAAAAATGCATAACTTTTCGACCACCAACCTGATCAATAAAAGAGGTGGACGCATGAAAAAGTTTTGGCGTATACTTTCCAACCATCTTTTTACGAGTGGTTGGAAATTTCTGACCACTTTCCGACGACTCCAACAATTGACGGAAAAGGGAAAAAAATCACTTTTTGCGACCAAATTTTCAGGTGGTCGGAAAATAGCTGCTTTCCAGCAGTGTTCTGTGTATTCCTATACCGAAGGTCATGCATCGATACCTCTCTAGTTGTGCATTCAAGCACCGTTAAGAATTCATACTTCCAAATCCCAATGTCTTTGCATCAACCTGGGAGCATTAGCCGATCTGGTACATTAATACATGTCCCTATGCCCATGCCAAGCAATCTTGTCTAACTTTGCTAACTCCCCCTTCTCAACTCGTACCTTGTTCATTCTAGAAACACGTCTTCCAATTCCATCTTTTCACGAATCTCCTTTAACGAAAGAAATATAGAAGCGAATACCCAAGCCTAGTTCACTTGATAAGTTCCTTTGCATCCATGGTTGAATGGTGAAAGCGCCCAACTTATACAAGGGGAAAATTTGTAGGTTGGATTCCTGCTGGATGCATGCGTTATCAAGAAGGATATATTTCCGGACCACACTAAGTACATAATGCACATCTCACCAGTGTACGATGTACAACTCACAACACTGAGTTGCACAACCAGCACACCCGAATGCACAACCGTACTACCCAGACATGTGTACATATATATACCAACATCCAAATATAAGCAATATTACACTCAAAAGAATGAGCAAAAAAATAAAAATTACTAATTGCTTTTCATGGACGAATACTCGATCGATGATGAAGAAATCGTGGCTCCAAATCGCAATGGTGATGATCCATGAAAATAGGAAACAAATTTGGCCAATGATTATCCATGCGCTGACACTTTTAAAAAAATAGAAAAAGACACTACTACCCCCATTTTAACAAAAAAGATCAATCAATGTCATATTAGGAAATCAAATACAGACCATCCAAATAAAAAACAAACACACAAGATTAGTCATCACGTTCTTACATTAAGGGTGGTTCTCATTTGATCGTAACTCTATCTCTCTCTCTCTAATATATATAGAGTTAATTCCAATTTTAGTCCTACTGTTATAGGGGGCATTCCAATTTTAGTCCATAATTATTTGCCTTGCCACATTGCAATCACTCTTATGTTAAGTGTTTCACTTTTGGTCCACCGTTAACTTTTCCATCTCAAAGCCGTGAAATCCAAGGACAATTGCGTCAATTCATGTATTAGCTTCTCTTTACTCTTTCTTCCCATCCGCGACTATCTTTGACTTAGCAAATCAGTAAATTAAACCTAAAACTTAAAATCAAATTTTCAATCAAGGATTCATGGATTAACGAAGCTTCGATTCAGGCCTTCTTCCTAGAAAATCCCAACTAAAATTGAAGAAATTGCAAAGCTTAATCCACGAATAACGACATGAGGAAGCAAGGACAATGGACCACAAAAACCTAGGTAAAAGTGGATATTTTTTTTGGTTTTTTTTTTTTTTGTTTTTTGTTTTTTGTTTTTGCTTTCATGTAATATGAGTTTTGTGGGTATAGACTGAATAAAGTAACATAGATAAAGCATGTGCTGGTCATTTAAGTATTGTCATTGTCCTTTGTTTTCTGCTATTATTGCTTGTACACGGCATTGTAATGTGGGGTTGGTGGTGACCTTTTCTATGCAATTATGTTGATATAAATTCGAATTATACATAAATATTAACAGGGACCACATGATGTAGGAAATTGATTACAAATTGATGTTCTGGGGACCACATGGTGCTGCCTTTATACTATTTTAGTATAGAATATGTTAAAATTCAAATTAAGTTTGTTCATTTTTGTTTGTTTTGTTTATGTGTTTGGAAATTACTTTGCAGATACATTTACTCTAAAGTTAAGATATAGAGGATGCCTAAAAAAGATGGAATTGGATATGTTGGAGAGTGTTATAATTTGGATTTTTGACTTGTGGGGAACGATAACTTTAAGGGAAACTGTTGAGGAATTAGGATATAATATGTTAGATAAATTTAAATACTTCACTCCTACTAGTGGAGTGTTATTTGAATTACACACTAATAGTGATTGTTGGGAAATTTGTGATAGTGGGCAGTTTCCCAAATAGATTGAGGTTTGGGTGATATGTGAGGGGGATTGTGATGGTGAAACTGTAGTTGAAGGGCAATTAGAATCAAAAGCTGATGAGGACTGTGATGACTTTGACTACAGTGAGGATAGTGGGGATAGTAGGGGAAATGATGACTTAGACTTTGATGGGCATGAAGATAAAAATGTAGAGTTTGCAGGGATTGGTGCTGTTGAATCAACAAGGGAGAATATTGTACCTGTTAAGGATGGAAATGGGGTTGGGATTGAGAAAGATGGAAGTGGTCTGGGGTGAATGATGGACTGAATTTAAGTGATGAAGACAGTGGGAATGACAATGATGAAGAAAAGAACTTTGTGTAGGATTAACTTTTGGAATTAAGGATGAGTTTAAGGATGATGTGTATAATTATGGTTTGAATAACGGGAAGGAATTAAAGTTTACAAAGAATGACAAGAGGAGGATGTGTGTAAGGTGTAAGCAAACTGGTTGTCCTTTCAAGATTAATACATGGAAAGTTAAGTATGCCATGTCTTGGAGAATTGTTAGCTTTTATGAAGAACATGATGGGTGTGGTTGGGTGTATCAAAACTCCATGGTGAAATCAACAAGAATTGCTAGAGATGGATGAGAGAAATTGGTCACAACAGCAACTGGACAACAGAAGAGTTTAGAAACAAGGTGAAAGTTAATGAGAAATGTACAATCAGTAAGAAACAAGCTTGGAGGGAGAGGCTATGGAATTTTTCAACAAGATTTAGGACTATTGCTTGGAGATTCAAAAAACAAACCCCAAAACTAATGTGGTTGTAAAACTAACAGATCTATTGTATGAAGGAAAACCTAGATTCCTTAGAATGTATTTACGTTGGGATGCTAGCAAAGATGGGTATAAGTTCTGTAGAAAATTAATTGGAGTTGATGGGTGCCATTTAAAAAAGCAAGTTTGGAGGAACTCTTGTGACTGCTGCGGCCTGTGGGGATTGATGGGAATGACACCATATTCCCACTGGCCTATGCAATTGTAGAAGGAGAAACAAAGGATCCATGGAGCTGGTTTTTGCGATTATTAAGGATGGACTTGGAAATCACAAATGAAGATGAACAACAACTGACATTTATCTCAGGTATACAGATTGTTTAAAAATTTAATTTCTTTTAACTTGTATACAAATTTGTTAAAAGTTCATTTCTTTTGCCGATAAACAGAATGGTCTTCTCCCAGCTTTTGAAGATATTCTACCAAATGCCTCACATAGATTCTGTGTGAGGCATCTTCATGGAAACATGAAGGTTGCTGGATTTGGTGGCAAGGCAATCAATGATGCATTGTGGGCAACAGCCAAGGCCACTACAATGAATAGTTTCTATGATGCCATGTCTGAAATGAAGAACTTTAGATGTAGAAGCATAATGTTGGCTAGAACACCCATCAGAATGATCAAGGTCACATTTCACACCTTACTCTAAATGTGATGCTCTAGTGAATAATATTTCAGAAAGTTTTAATGATATGTTATTAGATGCTAGAGAACAGCCACTTATTCCATGTTTAGAAACTATTAGGAAATTATTGATGGCAAAAAACTTTTACATGGAAGGGACCTTTCTGTCCTACTATTATGAAAAAAAAATACCTTAGTTAAGCATGTTGTTGTTTAGGGTGTTAGAGTGATGAGCATTTGTTTGAGATAAAA